TTCTTTCGCGTTGCTACCGTACTATTTTCTCCGTTACTCCTGTCACTGATTTAACCACGCGTAGCAAGCGTATGTATTAGAACGGTACGTCTACTGATAGGCTAGGTTAGGTGAAATTGGTATGTTAAAAAAAATAAAATGGTAATTAATTATAACATAGTCACTAGCTTAGTTAAGGAAGGTAATAAAAAAATGACTACAGAAATAAAACCTAATAAATAAAAATGCTTGTATAAAGTCACTCACACAGTCACAGTTCTAATCTTATTAAGAGTATGTGACGTGCAATAGTTCAAGCTTACGTGCTTCTTTAATGAAAGTAAGAGTAGAAAACGGTCACGGTGTGCACCTGATGGTAAATAGACGCCAATATACAACTACATCTATTCTCTATTGAAAATCAAAAAAACAGATGCGTTATAATGTCTTAAGGACTAAGATGTGAGTCCATAATTATACTAGCTCACTGATGCTTGGTAAAATGGACAACTTTTTCTTTCTAATATGGGCAAATGCCTACGCATACCCGCCCCGTGGGTGCAATAATGGCTTATGTCGGACTCGCACCGACTAAAACCCCATGGTGTTCCACCTTCACCGCATATTGTTTGCAGGGCCACGCACACATCCGCAGCCCCATCAGCGCCGGCCGCTTCATGGCAGCCCCTCCTCGGGGGAGGATTAGGCCTCCCCTTTTGCTTCTCAGGTAAGGCGCACCAAGAACAATGGACGCCTGCAGCCAACTTCAAATAAAGAAGACTCTGAGGACTGATACGGGATGCCTCACAGCGAGTAATTATACTGACTCTCTATACTTTTCACACCGGACTACAGCAGTGCAAGCACAGATATTTGGTGGGAGAAATAGATAAGAGGGCAATACCTATATAAGAGGGATTCTTCAGAAAAGGGGTCGTTCTACTTTTTTTTATAGGAGAGTGGGCAAACGTGCATGCGGCTCACCTGATGGTAAGTGACTACCGCCGTCCATGAACAAGTGCAACACCAGGGGCATTGCAGATGCGTTGCCGGCCTTTTAAAAAGGAGTAGGCTCTTTTCTTGAAGGTGCCTAAGCCGTCGTATCGGTCCGGAAAAATCGCTGGTGGTAATCGATTCCACAAGGAAGTTGTGCGAGGAAGAAAACATCTAAATCGCACAGTGGTGGACCGCCAATCATCCAGATGGTGTGGATGGTATCGGGAGTTCCGCCGCGATGTGCGTTCGTGACCTAGATTAATTCATTATCAATTTGTGTTGTTTTAGGTTCTTTAACTCAAGTTTTATTATTTCAATATCGCTTTAGACGTTTAGAGTTGCTCTCAACAATCACGTGACATTGCCGATATTTCGATCTGAGTCTTTAACAAAATAAACGAATCCTTATCTGTTAATAAAATAATTACTATTAAACTGTTACATAATCGTTCACTTTGTCCTTAAAACGTGTTTCCTTTTAAAGAGCTTTAAACTGCATTGGAGTTGTGTGCATAAGAATATATACAAACAACTCAATGTTATATACATTAAAAATTTAGGGTGGATTCGACCAAACAAGTATAAATTTTATTCTTAGAAGATATCGGCATTTATTCGAGAATAAATCAATTGTACGTTTTACCATTAGCAATTCTAAGAATAACGAGCCTATTCGGAAATAGTTACTAAACCACCATTTCCCACGGAATAACAGAGTTATTCCAACAAGAATATTTTAATGGCGGCATATTATGTTTCTACACTGATATTACAGTCAGTGTCAATTTCATGCTCAATTTGTCAGATATCTTAACGAGAATATATTATTATATTCTTTGTTTATCCTAACTCATTTTGTATTTCAAACACACAGAATAATACACACAATAAATATAAACACAACGAATAAAACTTCAAACCTTGCATACAACTCGACATTGACACTTGTTAACTTATTTTAGATACTTTAATAGGCAAAAAGCGAGTGGACATGATTTTCCTTTTACATCGTACCTTATTAGAACAATATTTATTTTGCCCGGTTAAATATTTGTTCATCATTCATTCTGTTACTCGCGTATAGTTTTATTCCAAGCGGAGCTATACTTTAAATTGCACGGAAAAACGATACACGACTTTACTCGAGATTAAATACAAGAATAGCTTATACCTTGTGGTATATTTAATCGTGTATAAATCAAGGTTTGATCGAATTCACCCTTAATCATGCAAATATATGCGAGAGGTGACTATGTAACCTTAGTGTGCGGTCATCACGAATGTGTGGCGAATACGTAATATAATATATTCCTTGCTATTTCTGTCGCGAAACATCAACATTTGCAGACGTTTAAGTTAATGTATTCAATGACTATTATTGTAAGTCAATATAATAAATATTATAACGACCTATTGACCGATTTCAACTGATCACACACCTACCGTTTACAACAGGTAAATCGTCGCATGTGTCATGAAGTCACAAAATTTATTGATTTATGTGGGAGTGCTGATTTGCCACATGCTCGGCGGTGAATGAAAACATCGTAAGGAATCCGGCATCTTTGAGAATTCTATTTAGTAGGCATGTGGTGGCGGACCACGCTGGAGCTGGGCTTATCCATAAATGGGTGCAGTCTATGGACATCCTACATTTGTCTATAAACTGTATTTACAATCAAGTGGATTGTGAGTTCGATAGAAACAAAAAAGGAAGATAAAATATGACTCGTTTATAGTAAAAAGGTTTCCGGCTCTCTACACTACATCCGAAATACAGCAGCATTAAGCTACTATATTATGCTGGTATTATGTTAGTGCATAGACATTTCCCTTTCTTAAAACAACCATACCGTAGCTGCAGCATGGCTATCTATACCACATTTTAAATATATCTTAATAAAAAATTCCATTGCATTCATACAATACATACACATCATACAGGTTAAACCAATTAAAGCGTGTAAAATGGAATGCATCGCAGTAATTATCTTGACAGTACGCAGCCAAAAGTCAGACATCACAGGTTTAGACAGGGGTGAATTTACCGTCGGATGAGCGACTTAACAAGGGGTATATATTACTCCGGGGGAGTGCAGTTACAATGGACGATGGAGAGCGAAAGGGGTTCACGGCAAAAGGTATTAGAACACAGAATACATTTACAGTGGACTACATATATTTTTTTTTCTTCTATTTCTTTCTTTAAAAAAAGACGTTACCTTTTTTAAATAAAACTAATTTTACGGATTTTATCGCGTATATTAACTTATGTTTATATTCCCGACGTTTCGGGTGCTTTCCAGCACCCGTGGTCACGGGGGACTGTTACCTCCACACTAGGATTTTCTCCTGTATCGTGGGGACAGTTTACATACATAAATTTCACAAGGACAAACATCCAGACCCGGAACAATTACTTGTAGGCCATACAAATACTTGTTCCGTGCGAGATTCGAATCCGCGACCCTTAGCGCAGCAACTCATTGCTAAGCCACTGCGCCACGGAGCCGAAATAAACAAATTTTACAGATTTTATCCTTTTAATAGAGAATATATTCAAACCTAAGCATACCACTGCAACACTTTGATATCATAAGCTTGTTCTGCGTAGATATGGGCGTAAAATTAGCTGAATGTAGGACGTAAAACACTTCAGCCGGGATAATAATCTTCGGACCGGCTTAACCGCTTATAATGAGACTTCACAAAAAGATTGAGAGTAATGCCAGGAGTGATCTAGGCTATATTTTTACTGAAAAACTTGCTGATTTTAAAAGAAAACAACGAACATTATACCGGGCTGGTTAACTATGTCATCAGGGCGTCAAACACTGCATCCCCGTAATCATGGGAGCGCCTGAGCTACCACGATTACCACGGAAAACACCAGATACGATGGTATAAATTAAAATCGTGACGTCGGTTAAAGCCTACAAGATAGATGAATAGTAAAAAAAAAAAAACGTACGTGTCAAATAAACAGAGTGGCGTCGCCTTCATAATACGGGTGGTACTTCACATGCTTAAAAGTCTAGACAAAATGTATCCCTCTTGATAAATATTCCCTTTTTACAAGTTATGAAGAGGGATGTACAATCAGTGATCGATAACTGTTAAAGGCCGGGGCACACTACTTTTTATAAAATAAGGGTTATAAACGAACACATAGTCCATCTGATAATAAGTGAATAATACGCTACATATAATATTTGAATGGTAAACTCACAGTCCAATTATTTTTTTAGTATAATGGTGACAAGCGAGCACACAGCGCATTTGATAGTAAGTGGATGCTGTGCTATGGCCTACAGACAACTACAACTATCCTCTTTAATTAAGAATCAAAATGCAGATGCGTTGTCACCAGTGAGTACTAAAATGGAATGCCTCGTATGCAATTAAAACGGTCTCTGGTTGTCTACACTCACACCATACGTAACAGCAGCATTGAGCTGCTATTTTACGCTGGCTGTGAGAGCGTGGTCTTTCCCCGGTCAAGTCGACCTATTCGTACTAGAAGAACTATGGTATAGTTGCAGCATGACTCTACCACGAATAATGCTTTGAATACTGATGACTATAGATGCGTTGTCACCTCTGAGGACTAAGATGAAATGCCTGCCTATGATCATATTGACTCGCCCCTTCTTGGTGGCAGGAACAGGTAAAAAGGTGGTACTAACCCAGATGAATAGGAGGCCACTACTCACAGTTTTATCTTTAATACTGATTGTTTCCGCTCGTTTGTATTCCACGCATATCCGGTCTTCCATTCACCATTATATAAAACGCGGCAAAAAAAAAAGTAAACTACTTTGACATATTAGTGTTACTAATTTAAATTATATTAAAAATTTAAACTGGCTCTTTTATTTATATTATAAATTTTTTTTAATTACCTATATTATAAATTATATTTTTTTAATTAAATTAATTTATTTATATTATAAATAAATTTAAAAGCTTTTACAAAAATTTACTTCGCAAATATCCGCGTTATAAAATAAAATGATGTGTCTTACCTAGTATGAAGAAGCACCTCCCGCCTCCCTCAATTGCGTGCACTATCCCCGTCACCACTAATCCCAGCACCGCTACTTCCAACACCACTACACTAGGCACTGACGATAATACGACACGTGTTTCGCCTCTACACGAGGCATCCTCAGGTGATATAGACTCTACGGTGGCTAACCGCTAAGTATACTTAGCGGTTTGCCACAATAAAAAGCGGCTACTTTATGTTGCCACGGATGACATGATGTTTTGGCTCGCCGCTCACTTAGAACGAGACATCTTTTGATTAACGACGTAATTACGATATTTCCAATTATAGTGCTTGGCTCTACCTCATGGCGACTTCTGATTGGTTCGGGTTGTCTCTGCAGTATCCAGACCAAACTTTCAGAAGTCGATCATATCATTGGTTGTCATTGAATACATCCCTATTTTCATTATTATTTAATTTTTGTTACTTTAATTATTTTGTGTAAGTTATGTATATAAAGTCTAAAAAAATACTCGAGATAGTAAAAGTTGAAGTACATCACTATAATATTAATTATAAACATACTTATGTCATTTTTTCATTTAAAAGATGATCACACGTCGATGTAAGTCATAGGTTAGTTATAAACCAGAGTTCTCTTGCTATTGTGGCGGCATGTCGTCGCGCCACAAAGCGGAACGCACCGAAGCCTCAATCACGCTATTAAAGTTCTGAAGTTACTGCTTATGTATATATATATAGAACAGCTCCGAAGTAACACACGCCCCCGCCCCCCCAACAAACTTTCGGCCGACCTGGTCTGTTTCTTGGCGGCTCAGGCCGAGTTTTCTCCCATCTCATAATTTACCACTCTACAATCAACGGCTACTCGCCGCCTGCGCCCCCTTTCCCCAATGGGGGTCGCTTCCGATACGGCAGAAAGGCCCTCCAGGCCAAAACCAGTACCAGGTGGTGTTTAGTGGGTAGGTACTTAGGTTCTTAGTGAGTCCCACATAACCATGCAGCCGGCTGCATGGTATGCTAAGAGCATTCACCACCTCCCTCCCCCGCTTCTCGGAGGGTAGCCTTTTACTTTGCTTTTGGGCGCAAAAAAAAGAAAAAACAGCAACACACGGAGCGTTGGCCGCCCCCGGGCTGAACACCTTGCCCGGCGGGAGATCTCCCCTTTTTCTCACTACGGCCACACTATTATACATCCTACCCTTCTTCTTCTTCATTGTCAGTGCCTATAATCCACTACTCACAAGGTCTCTCTCAATCTTATTAGGTAGGTCAATGAGCCCATCACCTTTGACGCTGCCTTGTCTCCGGTTTTGGTATTTTACTAACACAATGCAAACAAAACCACAGTAAACGGCTAGGTATTCTTACTTAGTGTGTCGTGTTGGAAGTTGTGTCAGTACGACGTAGGCCGCCCTGAAGTCATGCACAATCTGGAACAAAAGATAGGACTTCATTAATAAACAGAAAATTTTAAAACTTATACGTATTTTAAAACAAGAGAACTATTATTAGGGTTAGACTCACTTTTTTTGTACCCCGTAATTTCAATATTTAAAATTTATGTGCAATAAAGAATAAGCATAAAACAAAACCTCAAGAACCAGCCTACTAACGTCTGTGTGCACTTACGTTCTAAAGCAATTTTTTATTCCTTAGACAGACATTTAAAAGTGTAAACGTTAATGCTTAAAGATGTTCTCCGTCTCTCTCTTTTCACTAAATGAAAATAAAAATAATATTTAATTTAAGCAAGCGGCAATCAAAGATGAGTGACACTGACGCAGATGGCGATAATTATAAGATGCCTATATGCGGCACACCAAGTTATAAAGCTCAGGACAGTCTCGTTTTCCAGTGAGAACTTTGCAGATAGGAAAGAGATGGTCACAAGTCGTGTTAGGTGTATACAAATAAGTCATATTTATATCATATCATCATAAGTGTATACAAGTCATATCTTAATGTCCTGAACTAACGAAGCGCAAGACAGGATTATAGTGAACAAGTGTATACTTGAGCACGATGGAACTCTCTATTCCTTCACTGCTATAGTGCGATAGGACAGCAATCAGAAACAACTTGCTTCATTCATATTTATTACATCCTATCTAAAGTCCAAAGCTGAACATATGCCTGTCCCTGAGTATGCCTCATAGGGGGATTCTGCCATAATTGCTACTTGCCACTGCTTGGCAGGCGAGTTGGCAACCGCAGTTTTTTTTATTGTTATCAGTAAGATACTACTTCCCATTTCCTATTTCAGATTCACTCAGGGACCTCTTACGACATCCACGAAACGATAGGGATATTCTATCGCCACTATAGTATAGTAGTAGAGCCATGCTGCAGCTATATTAGAAGTATAGTTGTAGCACACTCACAGAAGAATACCAGCGTAAAACAGCAGCTTAACACTATTTGTGTTTCGTATTGTGAGTGTAGAGAACCGGAGACTCTTTTTACTGGAAAAGAGGCATTCCATCTTAGTCCTCACGGGTGACAACGCATCTACATTTTGATACGTAATCGAGAATAGATGTACTCGTAGATGTCTATGGGCCGTAGCAACTACTTACCATCAGGTGGACTGTGTGCTCGTTTGTCACCCTTCTTCTATTAAAAAAAAAATCTTTCTGAGATATCAGTAAAATAATGTTAAGTATTGTAAGCACTCGTACAATTATGTGTCTCATGTTAATAAAGCTATTGGGCTATTTTTATTTATTTTTAAAAGTTTGTGGATTATGCTTATTACATAAATCTATTAATTTTCGTAATATACTAGCTGACCAGGCAGACGTTGTTCTGCCCTCTCTGATAACCCTGTGTCCTATAAAAATTGGTAAATTCGTAATAAAAAATATTGAGGGTCACGTAGGGATAAAAACTATCCTATCTCTCAAGTTGGACCAAACTGCACACAGTGTGCTAAATTTCATTGCAATCAGTTCTTTAGTTTAGGAGTTCATCGCGGACAATCAATGTGACACGTAATTTTTATATATAAATAAATTTGTAAAATGTTTACGGATTAAATACTTAAAACTAGACAACGGATTATTATATCCATTTCTATGTATTTCATTTTTTCACATGGAAGAGCCATGCTGCAGCTATATATTAGTAGTATAGTTTAGCACGAATGGGTCGGCTCGACCGGGGTAGGACCACGCTTTCACAGAATACCATCGTAAAATAGCAGCTTAACGCTGCTGTGTTGTATGGTGAGTGTAGAGTACCGGAGACCCTTTTTACTGGAAAAGACGCATTCTATCTTAGTCCTCACGGGTGACAATGTATCTGCAATTTGATTCTTTATTGAGGATAGATGTAGATGTCTATGGGCCACAGCAACCACTTACTATCAGGTGGACTGTGTGCTCGTTTGTCACCCTATCCTATAAAAAAAAAAAACTATTACACAGAGATCTGTTTATAGTATATCAACACCATGACGTACTTAAAACTGGTATTGAGGTATTCCAACAAAGTCCTCAGAGGTAATAACCCATCTAAGTCCACTGGTGAACACAGGCTTCCCCTACGATTGCCTCAAAGGGAAGATATTTATATAATGATTCCTATTCGACGATGGATCGTGTATATGGCTCACAAAATTTATTTATTTATTTATACACTTTATTATTACTAAAGGTATAAACAGCGGACTTAATGCCATATGGCATTTTCTATATACTTATTAATTTATTTTTATGAATTTATATATATGATGTACATTTCTCCAAAACCCAATATACGGTGTTAATGGGAGACTTCAATGCAAAACTAGGCACAAGAGAGAACGGTGAGCTGAAAGTGGGGAAATTTGGAATAGGGCAACGGAACCCAAGGGGCCAGCAGTTGGCCGACTTCATGGAGAAAGAGGGACTCTTTATGATGAACTCTTTCTTCCAGAAGCGGCCCCACAGGAAGTGGACCTGGTCGAGCCCCGACGGTTCGACAAAAAATGAGATTGACTTCATTATGACGACCAGACGACAACTGTTCAGTGATGTCTCAGTGATCGCGAGGGTGAAAACCGGCAGCGATCACCGAATGGTTAGAGGCACACTGAACCTAAACGTTAAGTTGGAGAGGTCTCGTCTAATGAAGTCAACGCTCCGTCCCCCTCGTGCTCTAATCCAAAGTCCCGAAACCTTTCAGCTCGAGTTGCAAAACCGTTTTCAGTCCCTAGAAGACTGCAATGAAGTGGACGATTTGAATGACAAGCTCGTGGAAACTGTCCATGCGGTCGGAGCTAAGTTCTGCAAGACCCGCCGCAGAAGAACACAAAAACTCTCCGATCACACTCTTAATCTCATGGCTGTTAGACGGGAGATGAAGCTACATTCTTCAACAGATTTGACAGCTTACAGGCAACTGAACAGACAGATCTCCAAATGCATGCGGCGGGACTTACGCAACTTCAATACAGCTCGTATTGAAGAAGCGATCGAGCGGAACCAAGGCTCCAAAGTCTTTGCCAGAGATCTGTTTGCCAGAAAGAGCCAACTGTCAAAGCTGAAGACCGAATGTGGCAGCATCGTTTCCGGGGCACCTGAGATTTTGAGTGAGATTGAGAGGTTCTATGGGCAGCTGTACACGTCATCGTTGGAGCCACACGCAAGTGTGAGTAACGATCCAAGAGCGAGTCTTATCCGACATTATTCCGATGATATCCCGGACGTCAGTCTGAGCGAGATTAGAATGGCTCTCCAGCACCTTAAAAACGGCAAGGCCCCAGGCCAGGATGGAATTACAGCGGAGCTTCTGAAAGCGGGTGGAAAACCGGTACTTGAAGTCCTTCAGAAGCTCTTTAATTCCGTCCTCCATGGTGGCATTACACCGGAGGCGTGGAGCAGAAGTGCGGTGGTCTTGTTCTTCAAGAAAGGCGACAACGCTCTCTTGAAGAACTACAGACCGATTTCCCTTCTGAGCCGCGTCTACGTGCTGTTTTCGAGAGTCATTACGAATCGTCTCGCGCGCAGACTTGACGACTTCCAGCCTCCCGAACAAGCCGGTTTCCGAAAAGGCTTTAGCACCATAGACCACATACATACCCTTCGGCAAATTGTACAGAAGTCCGAGGAGTACAATTTGCCACTATGTCTGGCGTATGTGGACTATGAGAAAGCCTTTGATTCCGTCGAAATTTGGGCGGTGCTGCAGTCCCTTCAGCGATGCCAAGTTGACTGTCGGTATATCGAAGTGTTGAAGTGCTTGTACAGTAGGGCTACGATGGCTATCCGAGTACAGAACCAGAGTACGAAACCTATCCAATTGCAGAGAGGTGTAAGACAGGGTGACGTCATATCCCCGAAACTCTTCACCGCTGCATTGGAAGATGTTTTCAAGCTTCTGGACTGGAAAGGATACGGTATCAACATCAATGGCGAGTACATCACTCACCTTCGATTTGCCGACGATATAGTCCTTATGGCAGAATCGCTGGAGGACCTAAGCACTATGCTCAATGACCTCAATAGTGTTTCCCAACGGATAGGTCTTAAGATGAACATGGACAAAACAAAGATCATGTTTAATGTCCATGTCACACCTATGCCGGTAGTTGTTGGGAACACTAAGCTCGAAGTTGTTGACGAGTATGTTTACCTGGGACAAATAGTCCGACTAGGTAAGTCCAACTTCGACCGAGAGGTCAATCGACGGATTCAACTCGGTTGGGCAGCGTTCGGGAAATTACGGCACATCTTCTCGTCAGGTATACCTCAAAACTTGAAAACGAGACTGTACACCCAGTGCGTGTTGCCAGTGATGACATACGGAACTGAGACGTGGTCCTTCACTGCTGGCCGGATGAGGAAGCTCAAGGTCGCTCAGCGAGCTATGGAGAGGGCTATGCTCGGAGTTTCTCTGCGTGATAAACTCAGAAATGAGGATATCCGCAGTAGAACCAGAGTGACCGACATAGCCCAACGGATTAGTAAGCTGAAGTGGCAATGGGCCGGCCATATAGCTCGAAGAACCGACAACCGATGGGGAAGAAAGGTTCTCGAGTGGCAGCCTCGTACCGGCAGGCGAAGTGTAGGGCGTCCCCCCACTAGATGGAGTGACGACCTGGTAAGATTTGCAGGAAGTCGATGGATGCAGGTGGCTCAGGACCGTGCTTTGTGGCATTCTTTGGGGGAGGCCTATGTTCAGCAGTGAACTTGTGAAGGGCTGTAATGATGATGATGATGATGATGTACATTTAGATGTCAGATGAGCCCATGTTCTTTTACTTTTGTATTAAAGATCCACGTGTTAGGGGATTTTCTTATTGCTAAGGGAAGCGCATTCCAGAGTTGTGCAGCCGTAACAGCGAAAGAGTTTGAGAGAAAACCAGTACAGTGTACCAGTAATTTACTGATTATCAGGTGTGGACTGTACTACTATTATTCATTCTGTGACCGTGCGCTCTACTCTTGTC